TGCATTACACAGGCTGAATGACATAAAACATACTCTGTATACGCTCCATCAGCCTCTTGATAGATGCATTACACAGGCTGAATGACATAAAACATACTCTGTATACGCTCCATCAGCCTCTTGAAAGATGCATTACACAGGCTGAATGACATAAAACATACTCTGTATTTGCTCCATCAGCCTCTTGATAGATGCATTACACAGGCTGAATGACATAAAACATACTCTGTATTTGCTCCATCAGCCTCTTGATAGATGCATTACACAGGCTGAATGACATAAAACATAATTTGTATAATTTTTTCCAAATTGCTGAAATAACTCTTTGGTATACTTTTATCATCTAGTACATTAAACCAAACCAATAGATACTTCCAATGCATCCAGACAATCATTCCTCCACAGTAATGGGAAGACAACATAAAACATTGCATTTCTTTTTCTTTCTGATAACTACTGGGGGTGAAAATCACTCTCCAAGAATTGTATTATTCTATCTTTCAACATACATTGACTTTTAAGTTGTGCTAATATCTCTGGTGCTACAAATTCTTTGAACAACTGGACAAATTCCTGTTTCTGTTACAAGTTCAAACTACCAGTGAGGATTTCAGTTAATGATTCTAGATAGCTAGGAAGCCAAGTGGATGTGATGCAGCAACAGCAATAACAGCTACACAACTAGTCTGAGTCAATTTCACTTCTGTCACTATTATGATAAATTGTCAACTGTCCATAACTAAAGATCAACAGCAGTACACACCAACACTCTGATAACTGTTTGATTAAGTGCAGCCTTGTTAATTGACAGACCAGAGCATGCTTCATGCATAAGTGCAATTAAACTGACACAGGAGATGGTGACAATGTACCTGATGTACATCATAAAACACTACTTACATGTTTAGAGATACCACAACACCTTTATCAACATGCACCAATTAAGTCTATTGTTCACAGTCACCTCTAGATGGTTCTTTGCAGATCTACAATTAACCTGTTGAACAAGCAAGACTGGCTGACATCTTCTGCAATATGCCTATTCCCAAGATTCCAGTGCTTGAACTAAGATCATAGCAACTACCTTTTTTGGCAAGCAATAGTGCAAATTTAAATTCGGAACTTGTATTGGAATTTCTCAATGTCTGATACACTGCCAACTCTGGTGTCCATGAGGAATTCAACTATACGTCTCAGCATCATCATCAACAAATACCATGTGATGCCAAGGCTATACTTATTCAAACCAATTGCCATAACTTTGAGTGTAAGCCGACTGCTGTGCCTACTCAAGTTAGTGGAAAGACCAAACTTGGCTCTGTATGTTTAAACTAGCAAGAGTTGCTGTGCCCATTTCTCACTATTGACACTCCTGCATCTGGAGGGCATTGGCCTACATGTAACCTTGCATCTACTGCTCCTATATCATGAGAATGGCCAATCTCAAGTCCAGTGACATATCAGCCAATATTAATACAGGGGCCAGTCCTTCATGTTCCATATGTCTCTTCAAGAGCTTCTCCCTCTCCAATGGCCTGGAACAATGGTTGCTGCATCACAGCACTTGTTTGCACATGAAACAGTAAAGCTGTTGGTTAATGTTGACATTGAGTCTTGGAGCCATTACTTAAACATCAAGACTAATCAGGAGCTGAATCAGTCATTGCACAAGTCTTGGAGTCATCACTATCAGGAGCAGAACAAGTCATTGCAATCCATGAATCCTTGGATTCACAATTTGGCATGCTAACCATTAGGTCATGCCCAGCCCAACAATAAAGCAATGAAAAAAAGTTACTACTATTTACCTATGTATTATTACAATATAAATACGTGAAATGGGTAATCCAATATTTAAACAAGACTTTAACCATCAGTCATTTGCAAAATTTTCCATAGAGTATAAAAAAATTTAAGGTACTTCTAATACGTATGATGGTAAGAGTTGCATATACTGTACCACAAAACTAATATTCGTAAGTTTCAAACTAAATTCATAAACCTAGTGTGTAATGTTAAGTACACTTACAGAACAAAATTTTTTCTTTTTGTCAATGAGCTGTTTATTGATTTAACATTTCATTAATATAACTTAGTGAACATACTGAAAATTGTAAAGAGTCCCAAAGTACCTAGTCTACCAAAAACTAAGGAAGCCCACTTTAATGGGTGGTAAAGTTAGCAGCAAAGTTTTCACTTTCATAAAGAATAAAACGAGCAATAAAGATGAAACTAAATTCCTTAGTGATACATATGAAGCAAAACTAGTTATCTAAAACAATATGATCACCTCAAAATGTTGCGCGTGCATGTATGTAAACATACATCAACAATGAAAGTTCATATAATCTCAAAAAAATATTTTTATTTTTTTTTATCAGTGGCATTCCAATAATGGGTTTCAAAAGTTAATTACATTACATATCATAAAAATATTATAAGTCACAGAAGTCATAGTAACAGGTTTACATATGCATAAATAATATCCACTACTGGATTGATGAAAATATTGTACAGTTTGTCAATACAGGCCTATTTTCTGGGATCGGTTTTAATTTATATTTTGAGATGCTCAATTATAATGCCTGAAGCTGTTTTTTTTTTTTTTTTCAAATATTCAAATACCATTATTTCTGAAAGCCCAAAAGTGCTATGTTTTCTTTACCACTATTGCTATTGAATTTAACTACAGCTATACTAAAGCATTTGGTTCCACAGTGAATGAAATAATAATAAATATAAAATACAAACCAGGGGGAGAGCTGATAGAACGGGATTTCTTGAAACTGCCCTGGAAGACAAAAATTTTTAATTTTGAAGAAAAAAAAACTAAAAATAAAAAATTGGACACATGAAGAAAAAATTAAATGATTCCATTTAGTAGAAATTAATTATTGAAAAAAATAATAAAAGCTTAGCAGAAATATAATATGAAACTGTGCAATAAATTTGAAGTTTAACAAATATGCAAAACATGCACCCGCATTAAACCAAAAATAATGTATACAAGACACTATCTAAAATTTTAAATGACAGAGGGGTTAAAAAAACAGTAAATAATTATTAAACATTACAACAAAGTATACCATGTGTACGTAGTTGAACATTTCTTGTAAAATATCCATCTTTAACGAAAATCAAAATCAGTTATTAATCTTAGTGTAAATGTCACACATTGCTCTCAAGCAACAGATTCAACTTGTTCTATTTTCCATAGGTCACATTAAAGCAGAAAACTAAGAAAATATCCTAATATATTTTCATTACAACATATTTTTATATACTTTTCAAGACTACCATTCAAATATTCAATAGACTTAATAAGCCACTGTGACTTCATTCATAACAATTTCATTAATAAACTTTATATAATTTACTTCAATCTGGGATCACCATCATCCATTTTTATGAAGATTTACTTTATAACTGCATACACATTCATTAACTTTTAAGGAACAGAAATAAGTTGAAATTCATACAATTTCCCATCTTGAAATCTAAATTTTCTATTAATGTTTTATAACATTTAGATTAAAAATAACGGAAGATATATCTTTCTGACATCTGCATTTATTATAACAACTGGTGGTGCTTCATATGTTATTTGCTCAAAATAGTTATTTCTAGAATTTGTATAAGCTTCTAGATAAACAAGAGGACAGTATCTAGTATGTTTATAAAAAGACACCTAACACAATGATATCCATGTTTTCACCACTGCTCTTAATACATAAATTTATGCTGGATATATAAATGTATGTAACTATATTTAATTCAAATCCACAACAATTATACACGATGTGCTTCTCTTATTAATTCTGGATATATAAATGTACATAACTATACTTAGTTAAAATCCACAACAATTATACACGATGTGCTTCTCTTATTAATTCTGGATACATAAATGTATGTAACTATACTTAATTAAAATCCATAACAATTATACACGATGTGCTTCTCTTATTAATTCTAGATATATAAATGTATGTAACTATATTTAATTAAAATCCACAACAATTATACACGATGTGCTTCTCTTATTAATTCTGGATATATAAATGTATGTAACTATACTTAATTAAAATCCATAACAATTATACACGATGTGCTTCTCTTATTAATTCTGGATATATAAATGTATGTAACTATACTTAATTAAAATCCACAACAATCATACATGACGTGCTTCTCTTCAGCCTGATATTCAAACAAATAATTATTTTTCAGTTATTGAAAACAATTTTCTATAAATAGAAGCAGCATCTTTCAAGGTTTCATACAGTGATCCTAATATTTAACCCTTTTATGGGCAACAATGGAAATATCCATCACTACCAAAATATAGCAATAATAAACATAATGTATTTTTAGTCATGTCTAATTCTTCTCTTTGAAATAGGATGTATATATCCAGTATGAGTTCCACAGGGTACAAATGGTCAGTTGGGAAATGTTAACTACCCACAAACATTAATTTTTAAAGTAGAATCCGTCTGGATAGTACGTAAAAGTTTAGAATTATGCTATTTTCGATTTAATGAACTTTGCAGAATTTTCCAGATGATTAAGACATTATTATAAATTTTGAAGCTAAAATGGATTGCATGTCACATGAAAGATGCCACACAGATGATATTACTGTCTTTGAAGAAAGTAAAAATGAAGACTTGGGTAAATTAATACTTGGTGACATTGTACTTAGATTAGTTATATGGTGCAGAATAGAAAGTAACACGTTTGTTAGAATAATAAATAAATATATAGTAAAGAATAGCCAACTGATGAAACAATGCATTGTAACCACTATAAGTAATACACAATAGTTTAATAATTATAAGCAGTATAGTTTGAATGTTATACTTAATTAGCCTTGTTCATTACTAGGTATACATGTTTAGTTCTGATAAGAAGTGAGTATTAATTAATAACAAAAAATAGCATTGCTTATGAAAACATACAACAAACAAAAAAAATGGTAACATTTACCTAGATTATTTGCATTTACAAATATATTTCATAATATGTAACATATAACTTATTGAGTAAAATAAAACAATTTAGTACACAAATCATCATCCACTAACAACTTACACTTATAAGGAAGATGGTGACAGATATATCCAAAAAAAAAATATTTTTTTTATGTGCAATGTATTGTATAAATAAATTTATATATGGTATAATGAAAAAAAAATATAAAAAAAAATACCAGTTCACAACTTTTACTGAATGACACCTCCACCCACCCCCAATTGGGCCCATTTACACAGGCTTGGGTATGTTATCCATGATGACAAGGAACCCACTTCTACAGATGCCAGATATGGGTATTAAAAACTTTTATTTAAAACAAAACAAGTAACATTTTGACTTCCTTAGGTCATCATCAGGTTAAGAAAGATTATTTTAAAAGTGACTGTTATTGATCACATGTCATGTGGATGACAGCAATGAGAGGTATAAGGCTGTAGGGGCATTGTATATAGTTAATCTATTATATAAGGTAGCTAACAGTGTAATATCATGTGTGAACATGGTTAAGTATGTTATATTCAAATGATTTTGCATTAGTGAATCAGAAAGTCATGTGATAACCACAGCTGATATGTGGAACATTGTCACAATGGAACATTATATGTAAGAAGAACATTTTGACATTGTTTGGAGTTTCGTGGTAGTGTAATCCCATCAAAAACTAACTGCTTTTGAGAAGGGTATATAACAACCCTCTTCAGTGCACAATATTCTTACACTCAGATAATAAAGATGTGTTGATATCAGGGATATAGAATTTTCAAGATAGGGATTTTCCTTGCACTTAATAGCATTGAAAAACAAAAGAAATATGGATCATCTAGGGGCACTAGGATCACCCAAAACGGGACCCGAGTCAAGTTGTACCCTATATGTAGTGAAGCAAAGTGTTACGTCTTAACAAGTGAGAATCCACAAAGATCAGTGGCAAAAACAGTCCATGTACCAAAGGCATCAGTATGCAACATAATCAAGAAGAATCCCCATTTGGAAAAGTGATACAAGTCACATGTATTTAAGTTGTTTTCATGACATATCCATTCAATTGTCGTATACCTCAAGCAACTGGAGAATGAAATAGGTATTCATACTATTCCATACAAAGGTTTACTGGTAAAGTTGATGGATGCAACATTTGTTGATTTCAGTGTGATCATACTATTGAAATAGCCACTAGAACACCATAATCATTATACAGTAGATGGCTTATGGAAAGCATGCTGGAAAGAGTGGTATGCTTTAGACATGACAGCCTTATAACAGATCCTTTTGCTTTGGAAACTATATTGCAGGGCTGTTTTCATGATGCAAGGTAATTACATAAATCATGACCAAATATGGTGACATGAACTGTAATAACACAAAAAACTCTGAAATCTTTTTTAGTATCACATACTCAACTCTGTTTGAGCACTTTGAAAATATTCTACAAATAATAATGAATATCAAATATACAAGTACTTTAAAAAAAACTATATGTATATATGTGCCCATAGTTAAATGCACACACAATGTAACTTGAAGATTAAATGGAGAAAACCTGACCACAAAAAACCCAGCATGAAGATGATATCACCTTTTTTGTATATGTACTGTATATTTAAAACTAAAAATTCTGAACACTTTGATGACCAGGTATTTTGCATTCCTTGGAACAAGGCAAAAAATTGGAAAATTTGAAGAAATAAACTTTTTGTTAAATAAACTATTTTATTTACTATTTGATTGATTTATTATATATATATATATATATATTCTATTGAAAAATCGCCCTAAAATCATATATCATCAGATTCAGTTTGAGAAACTTTTACCAAAATATGCCCATATGGTCCCTTGGAATAGTAATAGCAGGCATATCAAGAACAACCCCTATGGTAAGCAAGGACAAATTGAAGTTGACAGACAGGAAACTTAATACATATTCCTGTTTAAGGCTTGTTAGTTGTCAAATAAATTAATAACATAAAACCTATTGTAGTAACACAAGTCACTGATGTAACTGCAAAAAAAAAAGAGCCATTTTTGTTGTACCAATATACATTATACATTGTTCTGCACAGCTTTCCAAATCATATTTAGTAAATATTTTATTGTTTTCTATAGAAAAAAAAAAAACCCTCAAAAACTTTACTACAAAGAGTATAAAGGTGTGTGTGTAAACAGAAATTATACAAGATAAACTTCCTATCTTAAGCCTCATAAAGCTATACTGGATGATATTCTTTACATTAATCTAGTTCAGATGATGAGAACAGATAATACTTGAAACTTCATTATTCCACAAGATACAGGTTTTATTGCCTTGTGTAAACTTAACACCTTTCTTATTGAATAAAACTAAAACTGTGATAAAGCATTTACATTCCACGATACAAACTACTTAACACTAAGCCTTTGCAGGAATAGTCATTGAAAATTATTTCCGCACACTTTATCACTCGAAACTGTAATATGTTTAAAGCGGTTACAATATGTACATAATGGTTTTGAAAGATGGTACTACATATAACTACAATATTAATTTAATGAACACACAGTTATATTTTAAGTAAATAAACTGTTTTACAAATTTTGAAACTGCACAACTATTTATCAATAACAAAATAATTAATCATATATATATATATATATATATGATTTTCACCATCACTTTAGAAAATTCCCTTCAAAACTAAATCTACATTTTTTGTTTTGTTTTTAAAATGATTAATTGAAGTTTTGTTGCATAGTAACATGGTGCAATTCATTATATCTGTATTTCCAACTTCAGACTTTTGGACCCTTATCTAAGAACCAAGATTAAAATCTTACATCTGTTTTTATATCATTGGCTTAAACTATTAAAAAAAACAACCATAAATACCTTGATATCCATGGGACTTTTTTCAGTTCCTACACTAGTCGCACCAAATTCCAAGCTAAGAACAAATCAGTTAGTTGCAGGTATGAAAGCAGTTATCACCTTGACTTCCACATGCTCACTCAAAAGAATTTTAATGACATTTCCAGAACCAGCTAAAGTGATAAGAAAACATTCCCAATAAGAACAAGATATCAATGTACGACAACTTATTCTACTAAAAATACAAAACACATTATAAGCCATGTTTTGGAATATAAAGTTTAAAACCCTTTTTATTAGATAAAAATGAAATATAAATTCTAATCACCTGGAAAAACAAATTCTACTATTTTTAAGATAGTTCTGTTAATTACATAAGTCAGAAACTTAGTTTATACTTTGCAAAAGGTGTTGAAAGAAGTTTTTGTTTTTTACCTTTTTTGTTTATTAACAATATATAAACTAGTTGTGACTGATGGTAATTATTCTTTTTGGTAGATTTAGTTATGGCATTGGTATTCTTTTAATGTTCTGTGTTTATGAAAACAACACTACATCTGGCTGGTTATACAAGATTTGTTAATCCACATTCACTTGTATTTATGAATCCCATGATCATTTAAAAACATATTCATTTTAGGATTTCTTCTGGCATTACATATTTTACACCAATGCCTTTAAATGATTTTTTGCACAAATTTTTAAGACAGCTTTATACGTCGACAAGTTGTCATGCTTTAGTATGTATGGGAGTCAGCACGTATATCACTGTAACTAATTATTGTAAAAAGTTTCCACCCAAATACATCCATTGTATATGTCATGGCAGTCGTGTTTTTAAGAATATTCAAGTGCTTTTGAAAGCACTGATTATAAAAACTTAGATCAGCAAAAGTTACCGTCAGAAGTCTTATATATATACGATTCATACACTACAAATAATATTGCATTTCAATCCCCCCCATGTGCTAAAACTTTTATACACAAGATTTATTACCATGTACATGACTAAACAAATTTCCTAACAGTGTAAACCAAGGAAGATCATTTATCTGATGTATAAGCTGGAGGTTCATCAACTAGGAAACTAAATGTATAACATTATAGGTATGTAATTATTTACATCAGAAACCCTGCTAGGCATTACAGTGAACGATGACACCAATAACGAACATACTTGGGATGAGAGATTATTGCCCAAAATTAATGCAATGGATTAAAATGGTTTCTTACAAATAATTGCATCTTATGAGAATTGGGGAACTCACAGGTAGCATGACATAATGTGGTCTGACTGGCCAGGTGGTTCAGTCATGTATGTGTGTAAGTAATAAATATGTTTAGGTCAAATTCATATGTATGAGATGAGTATGCAACATGTGTCACCTGAGAA